TTCTAAATGTCTTCATCAAAGTGGCAATTAAATAGTCTTAGAGCATTTTGTACTGTTTTTCCCAAATACTGATGATCAACACAAAGCTAAGGGGGAAAAACAAGCAGCAAAATAAAAATCTTCCCCAAAGAACTGTTCGGAGAACACTCATTTCTTAGTTAATAAACTTTTACTACTTTCTGGGATTTTGATTAAAAGTTTTAAATGTTTTTTATTGAATTTAGTTTTTCTTGTCAGAGATAAATTTGGGATTGACTATGTTTTTCACATCAGTAAATCTTGATTAAATGATTCCCTGGATTATAGTTCTGCCTGGATTTGACTACCTATTTTTATGTGCTTCCAAAAATGTGTAATTTAAAGACTATGTATTTATCAGTCGAAATTCTGTTATCAAAATCTTCTCCCAAATTGCCTAAGTCAGTTGGCAACCACTTGACATGACTACTTGCAGCACAGAAATAATATGTGCTTCTGAAAATAAGCAAGAGTTCAAATCTTTTTGCCACTATCTGGTCAATTTGATGGAAATTAATTCCAAAGACAGGTCTTAATAGTTTAGATCAACTTATTTTAAGTAATTATACTTAGAGCAGAGAAAGAATTCTACTTTTCTTTTTCATCCGAATATTTGAAAAAATTTTCTATATCAGTTGTGTATTGTTTTTCAGGTTTTTACTATATCCTGGCCATGTGATAGTTGCTTTAGAAAAATGATAAAAAAAATTTTTTATACCAAAATAATTTTTTATTAAATTTATTGGGGTGACATTGGTTCATAGGGCCATATAGCTTTCAAGTGTACACTTGTATGATACGTGATCTGTATATTGTATTGTGTGCCCACCACCCATAGTTTTTATTTTTTTATTATTATTATTGTTTTAAAGTGCTTTTATTTATTTATTGTTTTATTTTAATCCTCATCCAAGGATATTTTCCATTTATCTTCATGTAGAGTGGGAGGGAGAGAGAGGGAAAGAGAGAGAAACATCGACATGAGAGGGACACATCAACTGGTTGCCTCCCACACGACCCCAGTCAGGGCTGAGGATGAACCACAACTGAGGCATGTGCCCTTGGCTGGAATTGAACCTGGGACTCATTGGTCCTCAGGCTGACACTCTATTGCTGAGCCAAACCGGCCAGGGACCACCCATAGTTTTTAAAATAAAATTTATTTTTATTTTTAGTAAAAAGGAAATGTGCTGCCATTATCACAACATTTGATTTCACACAATCTCTGTTTCTCAAAAATATTTCTTTTTATATCTGTAGTGTATAAATAGAAAGACTAAAATGTGTGTTAAACTAAATGACATCCCTCATTCTAGGACAGAGGGGTTGAAAAGCTGTCTCTTCTTATAAGTGCTTTAGGAAGATAGCATCCTATGAAAGAAATTAAAAGCAATAAATCAAACATGAATATGGAATCATTCTTACTGCAAACTTAATTTAAAATATTATCATCTTCATTTTAAAATATATGATCATCATCTTAAAATAATTCATTCAATTAAAATAGTAGGACTGAAGGCGTTGTCATTTAACAAGGCTGTTTTGTAACACTTCTTTCAAAATTACATTGTTAACAGAATGATTTTATACCAGATCCTGAGCTATACCTAATGGTTATGGTTAGACCTGTCCAAGAACCAGAATTCTCTTTAGATCTTCAACCTTGTGCTTTTTATAGTATCTTCCTATGACATATCTGATAAGAAATCAATTGGACACTTTCATACTGCTTATATGAGGAACCTAGCAATCCAAACACATTCCAAAATGTGTAAATTATGAGACTTGGAAATCATGATTACTTGTTAAAATTATTCCTTCTACTTTTAAAGGTTAACTTAGAAATGCCCTGGGGACACTGTTTCTTCTGACACCTTTTATTGTCATTGTGACCACCAATTGGCCTCTTTTGCTTTATAATATAGGTTTTAATGTGGGTTCTGAGAATATGTCAGTTACAACTTTATCTTAACTATAGTAGATTAACCCAATATTTTCTCATAAAATAAGTAGCCCAGAAGTAGGCAGCTCACAACTGATTCAGCTACTTAAGAAAGTCATCAAGGACCTAGGTTCTTTCTGGCAGCTTCCTGTTCTTCCATCTTTAGTGTGAAGGTTTTGTTTTACCTGTCAGAATGGTTGCTCTAACTACAGGTATTATATCTACACCCCAGGTAAGAAAGGAGAAATAGCAAAAGGCAAAATTTATCTTGTTAGGCTATATTTATTAGGAAAGAACAGCATTCCTCAGGAACTTTTATTTATTCTCATTGGCGAGTACTGTCACCTGATCATTCTTAGCTGTGAGGGAATCTCACAGAAAGATGAATTTTTTTTTTTAATATGTTTTTTTGCCCTGGCCGGTTTCACTCAGTGGTTAGAGCGTCAGCCTGCGGTCCAGAGAGACTCGGGTTCAGTTCCCGCTAAGGGCACATACCTCGGTTGCAGTTTGTCCCCAGCCCTGGTTGGTCGTATGGGTGTCAGCCACTCGATGTGTCCCTTTCACGTCGACGTTTCTCTCTCTCTCTCTCTTCCTCTTTCTCCCTCCCACTCTATCTGAACAAAAAATGGAAAAATGTCCTCAGGTGAGGCTAAATATATATATATATATTTAAATAGCCAATATATTCTCAATCTTGAAACATCAAAGTGAAAAATGGTGTGTAGTGAAAATCCCCCTTTTTCATCACATCCCCTTCATTCTTCTACTTTATTCCACCCCAAAACAGGTGACTACTGGTTTAATTTCTTTTTTATCCTTCTCGAAGTTAAAAAAATGTCTATACAAGCTGATTCAAATATGTACCTTTTCTCCTTCTTCTTTTTTTTTTTTTTTTTATCCTCACCCGAGGACATTTTTCCATTTTTTGTTCAGATAGAGTGGGAGGGAGAGAGAGGAAGAGAGAGAGAGAGAAACATCGATGTGAAGGGACACATCGAGTGGCTGCCACCCGCACGACCAACCAGGGCCGGGGACAAACTGCAACCGAGATACGTGCCCTTAGCGGGAACCGAACCCGGGTCTCTCTGTACCGCAGTCCGACGCTCCAACCGCTGAGCCAAACCGGCCAGGGCTCTCCTTCTTCTTTTTTTAAAAATAGAAATGGTACATGAGATAAGTTATCTTCAACCAGTCACGTGACTCCCAGACCAAACTAAACCAAACACGCAAACCAGGATTCTTTTATTTCTATTTTTATTTTTTTTGTTAATCCTCACCCAAGGATAGGTTTTCATTGCTATTTAAAGAGAATGGAAGGGAGGGAGGGAGGGAGGAAAGGAAGGGGTGTGGGGGAGAGAGATAAAAGCATTGATGTGAGAGAAACACATCAATTGGTTGCCTCCTGACTGGGGCCAGGATTGAACCTGCAACCCAGGAATGTGCCCTTGATCGAGAATCAAACCCAGAACCTTTGGGTCCATGGGCTGATGCTCTAACCACTGAGCAAACCAGCCAGGGCCCAGGATTCTTTTCTTTTTTTAATCCTCACCTGAAGACATTTTTGCATTTATTTTCAGATAGAGTGGGAGGGAGAGAGGGAAGAAGAGAGAGAGAAACATTGACGTGAGAAAGACACATCGAGTGGTCACCACCCACACAACCCCAGCCAGGGCTGGGGAGAAACTGCAACCGAGGTGTGTGCCCTTAGGGGGAACCGAACCCAGGACTCTCTGGTCCGCCAGCCGACACTCTAACCACTGATCCAAACCGGCCAGGGCCCAGGACTCTTTTAAGGAGGAAAGCAGACTGATAGTATCTGCAATGGACTTTTATTTATTTTTTTTGTCTCAGTTGGGTCCAGTAGTATCCACTAGCAGTGAAACTATTGATTCTACTTAGCAAGTGACAAAGACCAGAAGTGTTCTTAAGAAATACCTGTATCATTTTGTAGCCCAGTGCCTTGTATAGAGAAGTTGATGAATAAATGTACAAAATGGAGCTCTTTCCTTCCATAATTGCTCATCTTCAACTCAGTTAATGAAACTACTGTTTGGTAAATTGTTTCAAAACCAGAAACTAAGTGGTCATCTTTGATTCCTCTCCAACTTCCAGATGCTTCTCTTTCCCTTGTCCACCACATTCATTACATCAGTAAGTCCTACTTTCAAAAGCTATCCCAAATACCTCACCCCCTCCACTGCTACCTCTATCCTGGGCCTAGTCACCATACTCATCTACCTACTTTCCTTCTTGCCCCTACAAGCTGTATAACAATCTAAGTGACCTAAAAAAACAAATAATTACCTTGCATAAAATTCTCCAAAGGCCCTGGCCAGTGTGACTCAGTTATTTGGAGCATCGCCCCATACACCAGAAGGTGGAGGGTTCGATTCCTGGTCAGGGCATAGACCCAGGTTGTGGGTTTCATCCCCATTAAGGCTATGTGTGGGAGGCAACTGATCAATGTTTCTCTCTTTCTCTCAATATCAATTAAAAAAAACAAAACAAAAAAACTCTCCAAAGGGTTTGAGCTCTAATTAGAATTAAATTCAAAGACTATACTGAGGTCCATGAAGGCCTAGGTGATCAGGTGTTTGTCTACCTTTTCATCATTGCCTACCCCTCTGTGGTCTTCTCCCAGATGCATATAGGGTTGTTTATTTAGGACTCAGCTACATGACACTCCATAGCAACCCTTCCTACTTGTACTTCAACATTTTCTATTCCATATCTCCTTTTCTTTTTCTCGTAACATTCATAACTATTGAAATACTATTATATACTTGTTAATTCTTGGGCTTTCTCTACTAAAAGTTCCATGAGTGCAGGGATTTTGTCTGTCTTATTGAGTTATTTATTCAACAAATGTTTGTTGAACACCTTCTGTGTGACATCCTATTGGCCATTTTATGATAATAACAATTTGCAAAGCGGACAAAAATGACTTTCTTCACAGAACTTTCCTTTTTGTGTATGTATGTGTATGTGTATGTGTATAGGTGGACAGACAATAAACAAAGAAGTAAAATATATAGTACTTTAAATTTAAGTGCTATGAAGAAAAATAATAAAAAGAGACAAGAATCATCTGGATGTTGGCAGTTTTTAATTTCTATTTGCAATTTTCATCATAACCTGTGTAATAAACCACCTATAAATTGATGACTTACAACACCAGATATGTCTGTGAGTTTTCCAGGATTCAAATAATTCAGACTAGACGTGGCTTCAGTTGGTGGCTCAGTTTCAGGTATGTTCCATGTGTTTCCCATTTTTCTGGCACCAGTAGAATACCAAATCATGTTGTTTTCCATGGCAAAAAGTAGGACTGCAAGAGACCAGGTCCAGCATACAAGCCATTTAAATTTCTGCTTAAATCATGTCCACTACCTTCCCAATGGGCAAAACAAATCACATGGTCAAGCCTAAAGCTTAGGAGCAAACAAGATTATCATATGTTTATAAACCATTTGTGTTTTCTCTTTTCTAAAGAGTTTTTTTTCTTTCGTTGAATCTTGTTTATTGTTTCTTATTGATTTTTTAGAGTCATTTAAATATTTTGGTTATGAATTCTTTATTGGATGTATATATATTGCACTCATCTCTTCTTAGGTTGTGACTTATCTTTAAAAGTTTTTTTATTTGCCTCATTTTACAAAAGTTCTTAATTGTAATGTGGTCCAATTATCAATCTTTGTTTTTCTAATAGTTAGTGATTTTGGTCTTTTCTTTCTTTCTTTTTTTTTTTGGTACATGCCCCTAGCTGCTAGGGCCTAGCGGGAACTGAACCTGGGACTCTCTGGTCTGCAGGCCGACGCTCCAACTGCTGAGCCAAACCGGCCAGGGCAATTTTGGTCTTTTGTTTAAGAAATCCTATCCTACCCCACTGTAATATAAAAATTCTATTACATACTGTCTTCTAAAACTTTTACAGTTTCTCTCTCAACTTTAAGGCTGTAATGTACCTGGAAGTGATTTCCATGTATGGTGAAAAATAGGGAACTGATTTCATCTTTTTTCCACACTGACACCCAACTGTCCTTCCATGGGATTGATTAGTCTTACCTTTCCTCATTGATCATCATTGCCAGCTGTGTTATAAACAAAGTTTTCATAATAGGTCGATCTATTTCTGAATTCTCTCTTTTGCTTATTGATCCCTTCGCTACTACCACTATATCTGATTCTTGGCTTGAAGAAGTGTCAATATTTGGAAGATAATTTTTGGTAGGATGGTCCCTCCAACTTGTTCTTCATGAGTAGGTTGGCCATTCTTTGCTCTTTGCTTTTCCTTATATATTTTATGATTACTTGTTAAATTCAAGGAAAAGGCTATTGAAATTTTTAAAATTTAAAGATTAATTTGGGGGAGAATTACTGTCTTTAAAATATAGGACCTTTCTGTCCATTAAGCATGCATTATTATCTCTCCATTTATTCATATCTTTCTTACTGTCTTTTAATAAGTCTTAAAGTTATTTTTATTGATTTTTTTATATATTTTGCTATATTTATTGCATATACCTTTTTGTTATTGTAAATGGTATTTTATTTTATTGTGAAATATTTTATATATATAGCTAAGAATAGAGTATAATATAATGAAAATTTATGGACCTATTTCTGGCTTTTATTTTATTTTATTTTTTATTTTTTTTTATCCTCACCCGAGGATATTTTTCCATTTTTTGTACAGATAGAGTGGGAGGGAGAGAGAGAGAAACATCGAGTGGCTGCCACCCGCACGACCAACCAGGGCCAGGGACAAACTGCAACCGAAGTACGCGCTCTTAGCGGGAACCGAACCCGGGTCTCTCCGGACCGCAGGCCGATGCTCTAACCGCTGAGCCAAACTGGCCAGGGCCTATTTCTGGCTTTTAAAAAGAGTAACAATATGCCTGATTTCCTTTTGCTTCTCTTTCTTTTCTAATTAAGCATGATAAATACAATCACTGTTTCCACTGGATTTTTCTCCTATCTCATTCTCTTCCCCCTTTCCATCTCTAGTGTTTCATAAATCCAGTGTTTTCATTCTTATAAAGTTGTTATATTTATACTTGTTAGTGTATCTGTGAATAATATAAAGTCTTGTATACATTTTATAATTGAGTGGATCAGTGTCCTTTATTAAAGCAGTAATTCTTTTTTGTTTGTTTTAGTAGAAAACAATCTCTAAAGTAAGTCTTTCACATACAGTATTGGTAATTCTTATTTTTCTTCTGTGTTCTCACTAAAGCATTCCACCTTTGGAACTCATGTGTTTTTCTCTTTGAGAAAGCTCTAGACAGAGGAAGGTATAAAATTTTCAAATGAAGGAATATATTTGAGCCTAATGTATGTTTTCCTGACATTTTCATTTCATATGAGAAATATTTGAGTTAATTATATTAATTTTAACTCAGTGAGGTAGAATTTTACTACCACTGATTTTAGGCTATTTAGCTATTTTTAGCTATTGTCTCATTCACCCATATCCCCAATTCTTATACACTTGGGAAAATAAATGATAAGCAAACAAATAAAAGGTAACCTAAATTATATATAGTATATTTCTATTCCCCAAACCAGGATCATTCTAGTTGTATGTATAAATTTTCTCTTTAGCTTTTACACTAAAGATAGAGAAGAAAGACAAAAGTAGTCAGGTTTTGGGTTGGATAGTTGCTGATGAATGGAAATAACACTGAAGAATTTTCTTGATTGATTTAGAAGTCTGGTTTGGCTTTCCCTGGTTTGTAGATTTATTCTTTCTCAATTTAAACAAATGCAAGTGATATTTTGCCTGCTTTGAGCTAAATATCAATCCACGTCTATGTTTCAAGAAATGACACATGGATGTGTATCTGCTTTTGTTATCTACTACTGTAATGCTTTTTCACATGGCTAATAAAACTAATTGCAGCATTGCCTGAAAGGAGTATAATAATAGTTTACCCATGATGAAGGAAATCAATGGAGATTTAAATGGAGTATTTCATGGAAAACTTAAGAATTTATAAGATAAATTTTAAATAATAAGACTTTTATTACACTACTTTTTCTGTATTAATGGTAGTGTTAAAACAGATGAATCAAATAAGGATTATTTTGTGGATGATTTTTTTTTTTTTTTTTATCCTCACCCAAGGACATTTTTTTTTTTTTTTTTTCATTTTTTGTTCAGGTAGAGTGGGAGGGAGAGAGAGGAAGAGAGAGAGAGAGAAACATCGATGTGAAAGGTTTCACATCGAGTGGCTGCCACCCGCACGACCGACCAGGGCCGGGGACAAACTGCAACCGAGGTACGTGCCCTTAGCGGGAACCGAACCTGGGTCTCTCAGGACCGCAGGCCAACGCTCTAACCGCTGAGCCAAACCGGCCAGGGCGTGGATGATTTTTAAAAGACACATTTGGGTGATCTAAATAGTAATCAGTTTTTGTAGCCTTTTATAAAATATGCTGCTCCAAGAATGACAAAATTTTCATTTCTATTTAATAAAATAGAAAAGATACTTAAGCCATGCCCCCCCCCCCACCACCACCACTTGTTATTGCTTCAGAAGAAAAGGTAATAAAATCAGAGAAGCAAAAATATTCTAGAAGATAAAATAGAACCTGGTTATTTGGAGATCTATAAATAAAGTCACACTATTCCCTATTTCTGAACTCAAAAGGTAACTTTAATTTTAAAATCTGGAGAATTCAGCCCTGGCCGATTTAGCTCAATGGTTAGAGTGTCATCCTGCAGATCAAAGGGTCACAGGTTCAATTCCCAGTCAAGGGCACGGACCTGGGTTGCAGGTTTGATCTCTCTCTCTCTCCCCCTCCCTCCCTTCCACTCTGTCTAAAAATTAATGGAAAAATATCCTCAGGTAAAGATTAACAAAACAAAAATAACAGCCTGTTATAAATAACAGAACAGTTATTAGAAAACTTTGTAACCTACCTATAGTGAATGTGTATCCCGGCATTATAGAATGCATTCATTTATTATTTCATTCTATTTCCACCCTCTTTTGTTTCACATTTGTGTTCTGATGTTATATAATGTATTTTTTCAAGCTGTGTTAAATTCTTTCCGGAACAAGGTAGGAAATAAATAATTGGATTCAGAAGATATAGCATTGCTTACAGAAATTTAAGTTAGTAGAACTGCCAAAGTGAAATCAGTTCAATCTTCCATATAGACACTGTTTTCAGTTCAGCAGAAAAAAAATGTATAGTGACATTAATAAATTTTAATATATGAACTTAGGGAAGATAATTTGATTTTTTAAGGTAAGGAACATCTGTGGGATAGTGTATCCAGAATATCTTTTCTGGAACTTTCTCTCCTCATTCATGTGTTTAACACACTTGTTATCCCAGATGTGTACTTCAGGGATAGCTAGCTAGCTATTGGCTCGAGATGGACATAGTTACCCACCCACTCAGGCAGGGTTAATATGTCCAGAGATAGACACATGGCTCATTAGTTGGGCCAATGAGAAACTTCCCTAAGAATTTTGGATTTGGCCCTGAAAAGCTATGCTTGAAGCTCTGAAATGTACTACTCCCTAGCTCTAGGCAGCCATGTTTTCTTTTATGTGGGAAAAGCCTTACTGCAATGATAGAGGATTAAGCTGGCTTACAGAAATAGATGAGATATGAGGAAAAAACCTGTACAAGTTTCAACTATGTCTTTGTCCTTTATTTTGTAGGATTCTTCCTTGTACTCAGTAAGATAACCCAGTATCATTTTAGTAAATTCCTCATTTTGTTAAACCAAGTTAAGATAGTTTTGGTCATTTCTAACTTAGGTAATTAGTTATAGGCAAGGTGAGTGGTATGAAGTAATGTGGGTATAAAATCCATATTCTTACCCTAAACTACCTGAACCTGAGAGTATACCCAAATGTAGAAAGCTCTTATTCCTGGTATTAAATTATAAAGATATGCAAGTTGATGAGTAGTTAAGAGTATATATCAATTTTTATTAAAGCAGTTATTTTCCAAGCTTAGACTTTTTCTGATTTTTTGTTTAATATTCTTACTTCAGAATATGATGCCTATTCTTTTATAGGGTGTAATGAAATCAGAGATAATAATAATATTAGGCTATATTTGGTCACTTGGATTAAACAGCCCTTGGAATATAATGAAATTTTTATAATATGCATTGGATCATGTGACTGAATGTTAGCCAGCTACCCAAGGACAAAGCTTTTATCACTGGCAGAGTGTAGCAGCAAGAGCTTTTGTCTTCTCTTGTAATCAGCACTTTGTGTTTAATGTTTAAAACTATTTGGCAAACACAGAAAAAAAGGTTGTAGATGTTACCTTTAATTGGACTTTAAAAATTAATATGGTGAAGCAGTGTTCTAATTTTTGCCCTTTTACCATTGACCAGATGAAGAGAACCCAGAGTACTTTTCTCAGCTCTATTTTGTTCTTAAAGACGGTAGTGGTATTAAGAAATTATTTGCTCTAAATGGTATTGAGACCAGTTGCATTTTGAGGGGTTTGTGCGTGTATACATAATCTATGTACAATAATATATAATGGTTTTATATATAAGATAGATTATTCAAATAAACAGCTGAAACTAATTTCTACCAACAATCTCAATTTTTTTTCATATAAAAATGCTGGGTACAGGAAAACTGATAAATTTGGTTTTAAGCTGCTATCATTGTATAAATGAAATAGAAAAACAGAGACTACAAACTAGTCTTGATAAACTCACAAAGTGAAATTTTACCTTTTTTCCCCCCAGGTAATTTAAGTCAAAGCTCATATTTCTCTTAGCTTCAGAATTGGGTTGAGACCACCACAAAGTGAATGAGGGTCTTTCTTGGGCAATAATGAGTTTTTACTTCTCTCTGGGATTAATGTTCTAAGCCACCAATTTATGCCACAGTCATTGAGAAAGTTCTTCCACCCTTTAGGGGCTCTTATAATTTCTACCAAGACAGAAAATTCTAGGAAATGAACTACTTACTCTTTTTTCCCCAAGTATATCTGAACTAGGATTCCTTTGGCAGCACCAACACAGTTTGTACAAAGATCGTCATCTGGTGGTCAAGCCCTCCACTACTGAAGACTCAACTTAAATAATTCCTACTAAATTTATATTTGGAACCTAGCATATCTGGTGGGCATAATTATAAAAGTATAAAGTTTGGATTCAGGCAGAACTGGGGAAAAAAATAATAACTCTTTTCTTTAATAGCTGTGTAACCTTGAGAAAATTGTTTAGCTTCTCAGTGTTACTTCTCTCATCTATCACAAAAGGCTTTAATGAGATATTATATCTGAAGTACCTTTATATTTTATTTATTTATTTATTTATTTATTTAATCCTCACTTGAGGACATTTTTTCATTTATCTTCAGATAGAGCAGGAGGGAGAGAGGGGGGAATAGAGAGAGAGAGAAACATCGACGTGAGAGAGACAAATCGAGTGGCCACCACCCACACGACCCCAACCAGGGCCAGGGACAAACCGCAACCTAGGCACGCGCCCGTAGCAGGAACCAAACCTGGGATTCTCTGGTCCCCAGGCCGATGCTCTAACCGCTGAGCCAAACTGGCCAGGGATATTTTTTAAATTTATAATAAATTGAATGATTATTCTTTACAAAAACTTGATGATTATTATTAGCATGGACTCAATAGTCAATAAGCTCATATTGAAGTATTTTTAAAAAGGTTAACTGCACTACCAAGCATTTTTAGTTTCCCTAACATTTCTTATTCCACCATATGTCTATCTTCCTTGGTCATAAGCACAAATATTAGCCCTGTAATCCTTTATTTTTCATCTTAAATTCTCATTCAGATGATGCTCTATACTTCTCAACCTTACCATTGTGCCCTGTGAAACTTGTCCTATGAAAAAAATTACCTTAGGTCCTCAGCCTTTTCATAGAATTATTCTTGCAATGACTTTACATTTGGAGCTGCCACAAGTATTTAACTACCTCTGGGTCCCTCTTGAGCAGAAACTACTTTGTCTTCTTCATTGTACATCCACGTGTCTGAGACATTGGTTGCTCAGTAGTGGTTCAGGTTCCTTTTTGCTACTTATGATCTATCACTTCTCTGTCCTCTGCTAAAAATAATCTTTGACACAACTATCTTTCAGCAGTATGACTGTCTTGCTTTCCTGTAGTCATCTACCAATCTCCAAATTACCTTTCCATGTTAATTGAAGGCTTGCATCAGCTTAGAAATCTTTTCCCCTAATCTCATTTTATTCAGTTGTTCTAGATGCCATCACTGGACTCAGTGGAGATGTCCTATCTAATAACATAGTCACATAGTTCCAGTTATCTTCTTTGCTTTAATTACTATTCCTGAAATCTCATCTGATATTGTACAATATCTGGAGATATTGTACAAGCCAACGAATTATTTTCTACATGTATCCTACTTCAATTTACCCCAGGAAAAGACTTAGCAGTTGCACTGCCACAGAATACCTGCACCACTGACTACTTTTATCGATATTGACAGCCAGCAAATCAGTGAATGAATCAACTCCAGAATCTTGCCCTTAGAGTGTGCTTTCTAGGAGCACTCTGCCAGCAATTCTCGTAGATCGGATCCCCTAGAAGCAAAGCTCAAGGAAGAGAATCTTGTTCAGTGATTTGTAAGAGAGTATTCTTCAAAAGAAAGCAAGGAAAACAAGAAAGGGCAGTAGAATTAGCCAGGCAAAGACATTAATTTCAAAAGAAGTCTCACCTTCAGCTTGATCCCATGGGGTACTCTGGAGAGTAAATAGTACCACAGAATTATCCTTCTTATTGGTCAGTCCCTTTGTGATAACTTGACTTTTGTAATCCTGTATTTGTTAACCAACTGCTGTGGGCCACTCCTATGTGGTTGACTCTTACAACCCAGATATTACTGGACAAAGAAACTTTTAAGTGACAGGGTAAAGTTGATAGTTACCAATTTCAGTTCGGTTTCTAGTATTCCATTGTAGGATTGTATTTATATTTTATTTATCTAAATCCCTAATTATTATACATTTTGATTATTTCCATTGTAAACTAAAACAGAATTGAATATCTTCTCTAAATAATAATTATCACGTTTAATTTCTTTAAAAAGTAGTAACAAGATAATTGTCAAAATATGAATAAACCCTAGACTCATCAGCTTTCTACTGTGTCATACCTATATAATTTAAGGATGAAATTTGAGGTAAGTTTGGTTTAAAAGATGGAAATAGGTTAAAGTTGTTACATGGATACAGAGATAAGAAATGGAAATGCAAATGAACCAAAAACTATGGAAGGAAAGTTTTGATAACTAAAAAAAGAGTAGAAGTTTAAACTTATTAGGGAATATAGTTTTTATATTTAGATGAATTTTCTAATCCCTTAACAAACATATTGAAATATAAGACTTGACTGAAAAGCAAGTTGAGATATCCTCATATTGGCTTAAGTATGTGAAATCAGACCTGTATACCATACTTAAGCCATAATAAGTAATTTAAGAATATGTATATACCTGCACATGAGAAAGAGGCAGCACAAGAAACTGTCTACAACTACGTAAGTTAGGGGGGATGGATTTTTTAAAAAGGAGAACAAGAAAAGAAAGATGTATGTAAAGCTAACACTAGGGATTTAGGTAAAGGAAGAATTGAAAAAAAATGTATGCTTTCTTGCAAAATTTTTGAAACCATATCACAAGATATTTATATAGAAAAAAAGTACTTATATAAAAAAGAATGAATCAGTATAAGAGAGAAATTAATAACTAAAATGCCTCAGATGTTCATTTGTTGGAAAAATACATCTTAACTATAAGGATACATATATAGTTGTATAAAAAAATGATAAACTATTTTATAAAATTCACCTAAGGGAGAGCAGGGGTATGCAATTGGAAAGATGTATACCGGTAGCTACTAAGGTTACTGGTAATGACTTTTTAAAACCTGGGTGGTAGGTACACACATGTTATTTCTAATATTATGTTTTCAAATACATCTTTATAAGTCTGATGCATTTTCTCATAAAAATAAAATTAAACTCTGTTTTAATCCAGGGAAAGAATTTTAAATAACCAATATATTAAAAAGAGATTACAATTATAAAGGTAAAGCAGGAATAAAATAGTTTTGCTCAGTTCATATGAAACATATTGATCTTGATTCAATTATCAATTCCAAAATACTTAAAATTGAAGATTCTAAATTAATTTTCACTCATCTAACATAACAGAATGTTGTCTTGGTAAAGTTGTATCTAAAATTTAAACAACTGTGGGGGACATCTGTAATACTGTCAACAGTAAAAAACAAAACAAACATTATGAACATATTTTTACTGAAAAAAATAAGCAAATTTTTCAAAACCAAAATATTTAATGTGAAGAGTGACATTTTTCAGTTTTGCTAATTTCTGGCTTAATAAAAGAAAGCTAGATTTCTAAAATAAAATAAAATTCAAACAACTCATTCCACAACAGAATTTGGAGTAAGAGACCTGATAATTTATATCATGAACATGAAAACACTATAGTGAGGCTTTCATGATGTTAGACCACATTTATGAAAAATTTAGCAATTGCAGAAGGGTAGTAAATTGTCACCAAAAGCATTGTTATTCTTAAGAGGAACAATCATAAAGGTAATTTAGCACTAATATTCAAAAAAGGAAAACAATGACACTGAGCCTGACTCTGTTAGTCCACCATGAGCCACTTCCAAAATAAGGAAACAAATGTAAAGTGGTAAGAAAGTGGTATGTTCTTAAGAATATAGCAAGACTATGAATATTAAGCAGCATTAGAGTTTAAAAAATAAACTGTAGAAAACTTCATTAATGACTTATAAAAGAGGATATACGTCATGTTAATTAAATTTACAGATGATACTAAATTGGATAGTGTTGACAAAACCAATGAGGGCAGATAAAAGGGACTAAAGTGGTTAGAAATATGGGCAGGAAATGAAATGTGATTCAACCTGGAAAAATGTAGCTAATACATCTGGGGGAAAGTAATCAGAAACACAGCCATTCAATTGGCAGGATATACAGTACTTGGAAAGTAATAATACCAAGAGACTTTCAGATGATAGTGGGTAGCAAATAATATATGATCTTGTAATGCAATATGAGAGTAAAATCAGTCAATGAGATTTTAGTCTGTATATGCAAAAGCTTCACATCATATGACTGGAAGATAAAATTTATTTAAATGGTGCTGTTGAGATCACAATGAGAAAGCAGTTTAAGACATAACAGCCTCCAATAAGTAAATTGAGTAGCATTCAAACCGGAAAATAAATGTGTAATGGAATTCAGACTTTAACTTGTAAGAAGAGTTTAAAATAAAACATATAACATTTGTCCATCTCTGACTGAGTCTAGTTATGATAACATTTCACAACTATTTGAAAGATGCAAACATCGTGGAAGCCAAGTCATTTTTAAAGGTAAAATAAGGGATTTATATAGTCAAGTAATGGGATGAAATTAAGTAACGGAAATTTAAGACTGAATCCGGGAAATGTTTCCTGACAGTGAAATCTATTAGTCTCTGGAATGAATTCCCTAGAGAGGTGAGGGGAAGTTCCATTGCTCTAGTCATTGGACTAAATAAAGGCTTGAATGATACATTTTTTTTTTTTTTTAAATAGTAAAAACTTAATTTGACCATTTTGCATTGGGAGAGATGCACACAATAACATTGTTGGGTCTCATCCAGTTGTGTTAGATGGTCTCAGACTTCTCTAACATGTTATGTCCTATCATTAAGGAACTGCATATTATTTTTTTAATTAATGATTTTTAAAAGGCAAAATTCATATTTTCCAGCTCATGTACTTCAATTTCCTGGATTATTATTTTTGTATTTTTTTTTTCAAATCACAGGAATGCTAGCAAAGAAAACTCCCTTCCTTTCCCTGTTGACGAGATATGGCCTTAAATATTTCAAGCCTTTTGGATCAAATCAGATGAGGTAGCTGAACTCTGAAGTCTCACTTACACTATTGCATTGAAAACATATTTTTGCTGCAGTTTTGAAACCACAACTGTGCAATATATAAAAATTCATTCACTTCCTTTTCTAGGTTAATCCACAGAGAGATTTTTACCAGATGGTGTCCTGAAGGTACTATTTACTTTTAGCAAAGCAATATAACTGAGTTTGAAAAATACAGACTAAAGTATGCACTTCATCCCAACATTAAAACATTCTGTTAATTATACTTTTAAATTATCTTAGGCTAAAGTTTGTCTATAACTTTGTTCTCTGTCCCAGCTAAGCAAATTGAATGTGGAAGAAGAATTATTTTAAGTGGCAATCAGTTTTAACACAAAGTGTGATTATTCTAAGCAAAAAGAAAAAATTAAAATTAAATTATATACCAGACTTTAAGAGGTAAATTTTATATACTATATTTATGTTTTAAGGTACATATATACAGTATATTTCAAAGTATTACTCATTGTTATTGTCTCTGTATAAAGAAGTAAAGAAATAGAGACTCTTGTCCTTGAAGTACTTAACAGTTTAGCTGGAGAGAAATATGTAAGAAGCAAATATAGGGGGTGTAGATACATATCAGTTATTTAATAAAAGCATTTAGATGGAATTGTGTAAATTATGTAGAATGTGACAAATAGATTTGATTCAGTGGAGTGGAAAATCTGTTGAAGTCTAATAAGAAATCAGCTGGTAGAATGGAACTCCAGAGTTGGAATAGACAGAGTATATTAAAGTTCTCCAGAGAAATAGAATCAATAAGATGGAGGACTGGGGTTGGGGGGAGTATCACTCTGATCTAATCTATATGTTATGATTATGGAGGCTGGCATGTCCAAAATCTACAGAGCTGATGTTTCAGTTCAGAGGCCATCAGACAGGAAGAGCTGATAAGCAAGTTTGAAGGTTGTCAGCCAGGAGAATTCTGTCTTACTTGGGGGAGGACCAGCTTTTTGTTTTATTCAGATCTTCAATTGGGATGAGATTTACCCAGATTGTGGAAGGAAATCTGCTTTACTCAGTCTACTGATTTAAATGTTAATCTCATCCAAAACCACCTTATAAAAATGCCCGGAATAATGTTTAACCAAATATCCTGTGGCCCAGTCACGTTGACACATAAAATTAATGGTCACAGAAACTGAGAATAATTTGAATTAATAGAGAACAATTGTAAGTTTTTGTATAGGGAAATAACATAATAGAAATAGCACTTGAGGACTATTCTAATAACAATAAATAGAAAAGGTGGGAGAAGCAGACATGATTCAATAGGAGTTGGTAGCTATGGAACAAGAAAGGAAGAAAATCGAAAAAGACATTTCTAAGGAGAAAGATCATGCCTTGGATGATCTATAAGTGTAAAGAAAGGCTACTAATTTAATTTTAAAGATAGATACCAGTCTGGTGATTTAGAGTTGTTAGGTAGAAATGAGGAAGTTGAGAAGATTATTTTGTTTATTTGGTGTCCAAAAATGATTTAGTTTGTCCACCCATGAAAAAAACAATCTTAAAAAAATCATAATTTTCTTCTACTTTACCCTTAAATATATTAACATTTTTTTTGAGGGATATATATGATCAGTACTGATTTTGGTATAATTAGAACTTGGTATATTATAATATATAAGAATAGCTATTCAAGTAGAAGTGAGTTATATAAGTTACATAAGTACAAGTGAGTTGAAAACTGCCCTTTTTTTCTTATTGACTAAGTGGTATTGTGCCAAGAAAGGAACTCTTCAAATGACACAGAACTAGAGCACCTGCTTTTTAGTTTGAGGATGTTTTCATATTTGTTGTTATAAATAAAATTCAAAACTCCCTAATCCAAGCAGGTAAGGAAAACAACACACATAAATTAGAGGTAAATCTTACAATTCACACTTTAAACTTCATGCCTTAATCCTAATCACTAAGGCAGAATTCAAATTTACATAAAAACATTTTATATGTTTGTATAATTCTGATTATGACATGGTAGCATGCTAGGTAGCAATAGACAGTTCAACTTGCAGGGTTTTTACTTCTTTGCAGATGCCAATATTGAAGAAAGGGCAGGAGTGTGAATGGGAAGGGTCTGAATTTCCACTCTGCTTCAACCAGGGCAACTTCAGATTATTTTTGTTTTATTGGGTTTCTAAAAGATTTATTTTGTCCATTCCTGAAAAAACAATTTTGAAAACCACAATTTTATTTTACTTTACTCTTAAATGTATTAGAGCTATTTTTGTCAAAGTTATGCCTAAAAAGAAAGGCAATTAATAACATTTAATAATATATAAAATATATAAATATATATTTAATATTATATATTTAATACTAGGTATTTAGTTATCTATATTTAACTCTGAAGAATAGAACCCTTTTATAAACATAAAACTATGATTTCACGTTTTAAAACAGAATTATTGAGATATAATTCACGTACTATGAAATTCACTCATTTCAAGTGCATAATTTAATGGTTTGGATTATATTCACAGTTATGCAACCATTACCACCATCAATTATGGGACATTTTCATCACCCCAGGAAAAATCCTCATACGCATTAGCAGTCACTCCCCGTTTCCTCCTAACCCTCCTAGCCCTAGGCAACCTTTAATCTAATTTTTGTCTCTGGATTTTTGTTTCTATTATGAATATTGCATATAAAATAATCATATAGCCCTGGCTGGTTTTGCTCAGTGGTTAGAGCGTGGGCCTGTGGTCTAGAGAGACCCGGGTTCGGTTCCTGCTAAGGGCACATACCTCGGTTGCAGTTTGTCCCTGGCCCTGGTTGGGTTGTGCGGGTGGCAGCCACTCAACGTGTGTCTTTCACATCGATGTTTCTCTCTCTTTCTCTCTCTCCCTCCCACTCTATCTGAACAAAAAATGGAAAAATATTTGGTCTACTGTGACTGGCTTCTTTCACTTTACATATGTTTTTAAGATTCATTCATGTTGTAGCATCAATTAGTACTTCATTCCTTTTTATTCTTGAATAATATTCCATTGTGTGGATATTACCACATTTTATTTTTATGATTCCATTTTGGCACATTCAACTTACACTCAAATTTTTATAAATATGTCATGTGCAAGGTAGAAAACCACTTGCAAATTATGTAAAATGTTCAGTTGATTCAGGTATAAGATGGTATGATAAACACCATAAGAGGGACTGAAAAAAGGTAAAAATAACTTCCTTAAAAATACTATTTTATGATCTACTAAGATCCTTCTCATATTTCTAATATTCTCACTGTAGCATTCTGTGAATAAGCATCATTTTCTTAATCACAAGAATTACGACTTTATGCAAATTATCTAACCTTTCTGGGACTCAGTTTATCTAACCTGAGAAATAAAATGGTAATAATAGAAATAATATGTATGAAATGTCTAAACAGCACCTGAAACATAGTTATTTCCCAATAAATATTCTACAATCAGAAGAACTAATATATTGCCTTCCTGGACCACACTATCTAATATGTAGCCACTAACCACATTTTAGATATATAGTAGCCACATGTGGCTAGTGGCTAATGTATTGGACAGCATAGATATAAAACATTCCCATCATTGTAGAAAGTTGTATTTAACAGCACTGCTGTAGGATCTTAAAATTTAGTGTTATGGAAAGGACATATATATGATACCAAATAAGGAAGAAAATTCTGAGTGTTTTAGACAGTATTGCATATGCTCAGAGTAGGTTGGGATCTCTTCCTTCTGTAATGGTCAAAGCCCTGGGAGAAGATGCTACTAGAGCTAGACCTTGAAATATAGGTATACACAATGGAAGGGGATAATTTAGTAGTAGAGTCTGTATATACATACCAAAAGTACAAGGTATTTAAATGAAATAAAGGATTTATAGGGGAGAGAGTAATGAAAATAACAGAGAATTAGAGAAGGATAGTATTATAGAAGATTTTTCCTGGTTTAAAGTGTTTTTGTGCTTTTTTTTTCTGTTAACATTGAAAGGAGTCAGACTTTAAGAAGGGAAATATGTCAGTAGCATGGCCAGTTTAGAGTAAAATGTGGTAAATTCTATTTTAGACAAAAAATTAATAATTTTAGAGTTGGGAATAATTTGCTACTGTCTCAAAGATGAAATTAACATATACTCAAATGTGACCATCTAGTTTCAAGAGAACTAATATTATTTGAATGTTTGTTAATGTACCAGGTACTATATCGAGTGGTAATATGGTTTAGCCTTTTTAATATTCATAAATAACTTTTATGTAGATATATAGTAAGTATCCATATTTTACAGATGAGAAATTCAAAGGAGAGATTAGTGAGAAGGAACCCACTACTTTTAGAATCTGCCTATTATTTCATTATTGATACAATTCTAATTGTTTAGAAATTCTTTTTGAAGTTTGTTTCTCTATAACTACCATCAGTTCTGCTGTGTTCTGTGAAGTTACTGAACAATGCCATATCCTCTTCCGTCCTCTCAACCTCTTCCCCCCAGGTCAGAAAGCTCTTCACATATTTGAGGACCTTTATGTCTTTTCTTAATCTTATCTTCTGATGACAAAGCATCCTACCTTACTTAAACATTTCCTCTTAATAATCTGGGTCTTGTACCATTCATCTTCCTAGTTTCCTTTTTTGGATTCTCTCTAATTCATCACTGCCTCTCCTGAAAATGTGGTGCCCAGAATAAATCTCAGTGTTCCCAGCATGATTGGACCAATCTAGGATTCAGGTCAGCTATTTTCTCTACATATACAGGCATTTTATACGTTGATGTATTAATGAGTAAGGGGTATCCCAGCTGAAATTTTTAACAGGAATTTGGAAATATGGAATTGATGCTCATTCATTCTTGTATTCAATTAAATATTTATTTAATACCTACATATGTGAGGTATTTTTAAGGTATTCAGACTAAGATAAATAGTATATCAAGGGCATAAATTTGGACACAGGTTATTTTTGAGTGAATTTCTCTCATAAGGGGAAGCTAGGGAAAAGTGATAAGATAGAGACACTACATATCAAAATGAAGCAAACACAAAAGCAAAGAAAGAAGAAAATTTCAGGAAGGGGTAAGTGATTAACAGTGTCTGTCTGAAACCTCAAAGAGGCAAAGGAGCCCAGCTGGTTTGGCTCAGTGGTTAAGTGTTGACCCATGCACCAAAAGGTTGCCAGTTTAGTTCCCAGTCAGCAGGTTGTGGGCCTGATCCCCAGTAGGAGGCATGGCCAATCGATGTTCTCTCTCATCGATGTTTGTTCTCTCTCATCAATGTTTCTATCTCTCTCTTCCTCCCTTCCTCTCTCTCTAAAATAAATAAAGGAAAAAATTTTTAAAAAGAAAGAGGCAAAGGAGATCTGAGAAAGGCTACTGAATTTAGCAGTTAAGAGATTTTTTATCCTTTTTCTGTTTAATGAGAATGAAATCAAGCTTTTAAGAGATTAACATTTTAGAGTGAAGAGGATGGAAGTAGAACTTATGTAATGAACAGAAAGAGAGTAGCCTAAAGAAGATAGTAAGAGACACAGATATTTTTCTAGGTGAATTTTGGAATTGGCCAAGTTGACTCTCTTGTTTATTTTTCACATAATCAGGAAATTCTTTAAAAGTAGCATGATGAGGAGAGGCTGTCCCACTCACATGTTAAAATTATTAAAGCTGCCCTGGCCGGTTTGGTTCAGCGGTTAGAGCGTCGGCCTGCGGTCCTGAGAGACCCGGGTTCGGTTCCCGCTAAGGGCGCGTACCTCGGTTGCAGTTTGTCCCCGGCCCTGGTCGGTTGTGCGGGTGGCAGCCACTCGATGTGTTCCTTTCACATCGATGTTTCTCTCTCTCTCTGTTCCTCTCTCTCCCTCCCACTCTACCTGAACAAAAAAAAAAAAAATGGAAAAATGTCCTCTGGTGAGGATAAAAAAATAAATAAATAAAATAAATAAATAAAATAAAATTATTAAAGCTATGTTTGTTTAAATAGTGTGGTAAGAGAACATGAATAGACAAGCAGGTCAGTTGGTTGAATAGAAAGTACAGAAATAGCCCTGGCCAATTTGCTCAGTGGTTAGAGTGTCGACCCAAAGAGTCAAGGGTTCGATTTCTGGTTAAGGGCACATACCTCAGTTGTGGGTTTGATCCCTGGCCTAGTCAGGGTCATGCAGGAGGCAGTCAATTGATTTGTCTCTCTTGCATCGATGTTTCTCTCTTCCCCTCCTTCCCTTCCTTCCTTCTAACAATCAATGGAAAACTATCCTCAGGTGAGGAGTAACAAACAAAAAAATAAAAGTACAGAAATAGACTCGCATACAAATGTAAATTTAGCATACAATAAAGGTTTAATAAAGGTTATCTTTTAAGTTAGTGTGAGAAAAGTGAATTATTTAATAATAAATGATGATGTGACAACTGGTTAGCCATATGTATGCTCATAAAATACTGGATTCTTACCTCGCACATTACAATCAAAATTTTAGATGGAGCAAAATTTAATCATGAAAAATAAAAACATATAGTACGAGAAAAAACTCTGGGAGAATTAATATTTTTTTATCACATAGATCAGAAGTTCTTTCTAAGTAGAACACAAACCTCAAAAGTTATAATGGAAAAGGTGTATTAATTTGACTAAATTGAAATAAAAGAAAAATGCCATGGTTAAAAAAAAACACCATAGGCCTGGCTGGTTTGACTCAGCAGTTAGAGTGTCGGCCCACAGACTAATGAGTTGCGGGTTCGATTCCGGTCAAGGTCACCTACCTTGGTTGCGATTTGTTCTCAGCCCTGGTTGGGGTCATACAGGAGGTAGCCACTCGATGTGTCCCCTTCACGTCAATGTCTCTGTCTCTCCCTCTCCCTTTCCCTTTCCCTCCCACTCTATCTGAACAAAAGTGGAAAAATGTCCTCGGGTGAGGATAAAAAAAGCCATCATAAACAGCATTAAAAGGCCAACTATAAACTGGGAAAAGGTATTTATAATTCCATATTGCAGATAAAAGATAAACTTAATAATAATATATAATATATCAATAGCAGATAATGAAAAGAAAATATAGTAACTCCAAAAATCCTGCACATTTGCTCAACTTTTCTTCAGAGAGAATTTTGAATTAAAATTACACTGAGATACTATTTTTCACCCATCAAATAGACAAAAGTAAAAATACTGATAGTGTTGTCAAGTGGTGAGGAGGAAGAGGTACTCTCATACATTTCTAAATGGGAGTCAAAGTTGGTAAAACTGTAAGAAAGCAATTTGTTTGTAGTACTCAAAATTGTACATATGCTTTCTGGCCCAGTAATTCTAATTTTAGGAATTTCCCAAGGAAAGACATACCCACATGTGAAAGGTTCTATGTACAAGAGAATTTTGGCAACATTGTTGATAAGGACCAAAAGAATAGAAACAAGATAAATGTCCAAGATAAGAATATGATTTAAAGAAATTGTGATGAAAATGGAAAGGAACCCACTATATAGGAGAGCATAATTGCCAACGATACATCAGATAAGGGGTTAATTTCCAAAATATATAGAGTACTCATACAACTCAACAAAAGGAAGACAAAGAACCCAATTAAAAAATGGGCAGAGTACCTTAATAGATACCTCTCAAAAAAGGACATACAAATGGCCAAGAGACATATGAAAAAATGCTCAATGTCACTAATCATCAGAGAGATGCAAACTAAAATGATTATGAGGTATCACCTCACACCTGCCAGAATGGCCACCATCAACAAATCATCAAACAAGTGCTGGTGAGTTTGTGGAGAAAAGGGGTCTCTTGTATACTGCTGGTGGGAATGCAGACACTATGGAAAACACTATGGTGTTTCCTCAAAAAGTTAAAATGGAACTGCCATTTGACCTAGTGATCCCACTTCTAGGAACATATCCTGAGAAGCCTGAACCACCAGTCAGAAAGAGTATATGTACCCCTGTGTTCATAGCAGTACTATTTACAATAGCTAAGATCTGGAAATAGTTCAAGTGTCCATCAACAGATGAGTGGATAAAAAAGCCGCAATGGAACAGCTGCAATGGAACACTATGCAGCTGTAAGAAAGAAAGATCTCTTATCCTTTGAGACAACCTGGAGAGACCTGGAGAGGATTATGCTAAACAAAATAAGCCAATCAGAGAAAGACTAATACCATGTGATCTCACTTATTTGTAGAATATAATGAACACAATAAGCTGATGAACAAAATAGACCCAGAGACATAGAAAAGAGTACAGTTCAAACTGACAAACCTCAGAGGAGGGGGTTGAGAAGGGAGGGATGAGACAAACCAAAGAACTTATAGGCATGTATGCATAACCAATGGACATAGGCAACAATGCTTGGTGGGGGAGAGGGGTGGCCAGATTGGGAGGAGGGTGTCTGAGGGGGAAAGGAGAAACATCTGTAACAAAAATAAATAAATGAATAATATATATGTGTGTGTACATATAAAATGAAGAAAAAATAAGTTGTGATGTAATTCATAAATAGGGAAGTATTGTCATTATAACACAGAAGTCATAGTGATTGCAGTGTGATTTTCCCTAGCATGTTAATGCTTTACACTAAGTCGCTTCAAGCATTTTTGTTGTTGTTTTGTACTGTGCTATGTAGAACATTGATAATGACTACTGCTTGAACATTGCCTGGTAGCCCCCAACCAACCCTGACTATTGAGGGACCTACAGGCTGGAAGCTGGGAAGAGGAATGTCTTAGTTTATGTTTCCCAGAAAAGACTCTAAGACAAGGATTTGAATTCTACTTTATTATGGATTGATCCCAAGAAACACTGCTAAAGGAGTAGGGGGGGAAAGAACAAATAAGTTGTCAATAAAGGATGCAATTTCAAATTGGGAGTACTATGCATACATTATGGGTAACGAATATAGATACTAAAGATTTATCCTACTCAAATGTAGGGGTAGGTTCACACTAAATCTGGTCAGTCATTGGTTGAGAGCTTTTACTGGTTGGTTTTTTTTTTTTTTTATCCTCACCCGAGGACATTTTTTTCCATTTTTTTGTACAGATAGAGTGAGAGGGGGAGGGAGAGAGAGAGAGAGAGAAACATCGACGTGAAAGAGACCCATTGAGTGGCTGCCACCCACACAACCAACCAGGGCCGGGAATAGACTGCAACCGAGGTACATGCCCTTAGCGGGAACTGAACCCGGGTCTCTCCAGACCGCAGGCCAATGCTCTAACCACTGAGCCAAACCGGCCAGGGCCTGGTTGGTTTTTTGTTTGTTTGTTTTTGTTTTTTAATTCCCCTGATCTTTCATCCCATTGTACAAGGGCAGAGTGGCTTGAGAAAGCTCTCAAGTTCTACTAAGCCCTCTGCTACAAACAATAAGAAAGGATGTGTGTGGGGAGGAAGAGGCAGGAGGGTGGGAAAGGGGGATAATACCTACTTCTGTAGGCTGCAAAACAGGATAAAATCTGCTATTATAAGCTGTAAGACTGATCATCAAGGACTAGAGGAGGAGGAGGAGTTGGTTTAGTCTCCAAGTCTGCAAGGTCCCTTTCTTCAGGGTAATTCCCCAACAGTATTTTTCTCAGCAGCCTGATTTTGCAGAAACTCAGATGTTTCAAAACTGTCATAGCAGGAACACCTATATTTATTGAAGTTATGTTGCTTACATGAAAGATTTGAAGTTATGTTGCTTACATGAAAGATTTGACTGCCTGGTTCAAACAGAAATCTGTACTATGCAGCTGTTA